AATGGTACTATACGTGGAGCCTCTGGGTATTTAAGTACTTGGAATGATGATAGTCTAGGCCTTTCAGGGCCGCACTTTGGGGGAGTGCATGCTCTTCCCAAGTACAACCGTCCTTCGTGATCCGGTTGGCCTCGTCGGAGTGGGACATTGAGTTTCGGCGGCGGGAGGTAGGGTCATTGACGAACTGCTTTTAAAATTTGTAAGAAGTCCGAAAAGAGCAAAGTCTATAGCCGAGGCAGCAAAAACGAAACCAAATCCTAGCCCACGCACGAAATCCGAAGCCATGTGAATCTGAACTACCCCAATCCCCACACAGACAGAGCCGTGTGACCTCCGCGTCCCCAATTGCAGCCGAGCAACGCAGAACCCGCAAAAACGCCGCTGAAGTACAGAGCCCCTGGAGACGTCTAGGTTTTAGGGGTTTGGGGGCTTAGGGTTTAGGGTTTTAGGGGTTCGGGATCAGAGCTTTGAGGTTTTAGCGCTTCAGTACATACACGTATGTGCATGCAGACATAATCTGTATATACATATAGACAGGTTAGGTTAGGTTAGGTTAGGTTAGGTTAGGTTAGGTTAGGTTAGGTTAGGTTAGGTTAGGTTAGGTTAGGTTAGGTTAGGTTAGGTTAGGTTAGGTTAGGTTAGGCTAAGTTAAGTAGGCAGATAGACAGATAGATAGATAGATATGTAATTAACTTTAACCCATCTTCTAGAACCCTTCAAGCTAAGACTGCTCGGCTCTGCCGCTACCTCTTGACTCTTTGTCTTTCGGGTTAAAGATGGTCCAAAGCTAGCTTGTACCTGACCCTACCATAACCTACTTTTTTGTTGGCCCTTATTATAAATCCCAATATGGATTTTTTATAGGGATCCTACCAAAAAAAGTCGGTTTTGGTGGGATAAGGTAGGGTCCTAATGGTGCAGCAATGCGGCCACTTCTTGATTCTTGTCTCTTCGGTTTGCGATGTTCTAGGCCTTCGAGGTTTCCAAACGGCCTAACGGCGTGGAGTGCATGTTTTGGGTTGGCTTGGGGTCTGTGCCTGCAAGAACACGGTGTCAGATATAACTTTATTCACCTTGAAGCCCAATACCCTGGCCCAAAAAAGTTTAAACTTTTCTTTTAGTAGGGGGCTTAATATACCAAAAAAGTTTAAAGTTCACCTATTGGGCTCCTAAATTCAATTTCGGGGTGAGGAGGGCATTGCACGTCTCAGATGCTTAGCACAAGTTCTACCGGATCGGTGGCTATCGCATCTGCCACTTTAGGGCTTTAGGGGTTTAGGGTTTCGGGTTTAGGGAATCCCCAACCACAAATCCTGAACCTTCGAAGACCAGGGATTTGAGGATCCAAAACTTACACATGAGGGCTCTTTAACAACGGCAGTTCTACAGTTCAGGGTCTAGGGTTATGATGGTAGCAGGAACAAGCTTAGTATACCTATCTGGGCAAGACCTACGAACTTAATCTGCAAACCTACTAAACCCCTACACCCAACGTCTTTCATGGGTAAACCTCATATCGACATCCGAACGGTCGCGGAATCCACGGCCGTAAACTTGGACTGCGAGCCCGAAACCCTGATCACAGAAACCCTCAACCCTAAACTTTAAACCCCCAAACAATGAACCCTAAACCCTGATCAGAGAAACCCCCGTCTTGCGCAGTGCTTCCATGCTTGATTGTTTAGGGTTTAGGGGTTCGGGAATTTGGGGGCTTAGTAATTTAGGGGAGTGTTTTGATGGTTCCTTGTTGAAAGTATAGTATACTATACGACGACACTCTATTCTAATTGTTACGGCCCCTGAAATAGATGCTTCTATGTTCAGGAGTTAGTAGTCGTAACCAAGATGAATCAACAAAACAACCCAACTTGCAGTACTTGTGCCGCTGCTGTGGAGCAACCACAAAGTAGACCCACACTGAACCAACCAACGCAGGCAACTTCAGCCCATCGTTTAACGTTTGGAGTTTGCCTAGACTGTCCATGTTACCCTCCATTTCGACCCCAGATACCTTCTACTCAGGGCTATAAGGCCCTGGTGTATGGGAGCAAGCAGGTTCCTGGTGGGATCTTTGGTCGATTCCTGCCATCCCGCCGAGCCTTTCTTACCCATCGCACGGAAAGGGCTTGTCACCTTAGCGATTCCGTTTAGGGCTCAGGGTTTCGGTCCGAAAGTTGGGGGAGAGCTTACTCCGGCAACCTTTGCATGGACTTGTGCTCTAAACCCTAAAACCCTAAACCCTTAACCCTTTAGGGTTTAGGGTTTAGGTGCCTATGTTGCAACAAGGAACCTGATTCTGGGACTTCTTTAGCAGGTGCACCTCGAGCATGGCTGCAGATCATGCACTTGAACCGCAAACGTTCGTCCTTCGACTTAAAAAACCCTCGTCACTCTCGCAGCTGCATTTACTACGGTTGATTATATAAATCCCGCACTACCCATAATAAGGAATATCCCGTAATTCCCTTAAGGCAATACAGGACTTCTATCATCAACAGTATGTTAGTGGTTGATGTTGCTGTTGCGGCTGCTGTTGAGAATTTTAATGTAGTTACTCTGAGTATTGCCCTGGATGGTATTATGAACAACACTGTTATCGTTACTTTTATTAAAGAAATCATTCTTAGCAGTGCTATCGGAATTGAGCAGTATTAGCAAGATTAGCTTAGCACCGTGGTCGCTAGCACTGCTGTTTTGACTACTTACTGTCACTGTAACCATGATCATCACTAGCATCTTCATCCCGCTAAAATCAACACCAACATTCTCACTAAGTTTGTCATCACTACCATTACTACTGTGTCCATCAATATGTTCATGACGGTGACATTATATGTACTGTTTTGTCCAAATTACTGTGAGTGCCCTTCTCGGTTCAACATTATCCATGTTGCAACTGATATCAGTACCATCACTGAGCCACTAGGACCTTATTGGCAGGATTAACTTAAGACTTGTTTTAACTGTCATCAATGCTGCAACTATTATCAGTCTTGCCACTAACATGCATACCATTGTTTATCGTGATTAGCAACCTGTCAATTTTAAGTTAATCAATACCATAGATATAACTGCTATTGTAAACCCTAAACCCAAAGCCCCCTACTCAAGCCCTAGACCCCACAGTGAACTCCATGATCCCTACCCACCCCCAACCGCACCATAGAAAAAATAAAACAACTCTAAAACCCGCACCCCACTACGAAACCCGAAACCCGAAATTTTCCATCAGAAGGCTCTGAACCCTAAACCTTAACCCTGAACCCTTAAATTTTCGGAGACGTGACGCCACTTCAAGAGCATTCTCACCGAGGCTGCCGAGTCCCGAGCCCAGCGTCTCGTCAGTGCAAGAAGTGGGTGCGTCTTTAGAGTGTTCGGTTTCGGGGTGTGGGTTTTGATGCGTGTACATACATACATACATACATACATACATACATACATACATACTTACATACTTACATACTTACATACATACATACATGCATGCATGCATGCATGCATGCATGCAAGCATACATACATACATACACACATGCATGCATACATACATACATACCTACATACATACATACATACATACATACATACATACATACATACATATGTATATATACTTTAGTTAAAAGTAGCAGTAATAAGATTAAGAATTGTAATAACATCTCGTATAAGATTGTGTATTATATCGACAGCAAAACCAAGTTCTACAACAAGAAAGCACATAATAAGAGTTGTAACGAATTATTGTAAACTATACTAGTAAAAATAGGAATATTAACATCTATGCTACATACATACACACACATATGTATGTATATATATATATATGATGTAGATATACATATATGCACACCGAGGGAGGCAGAGAGAGAGAGAGAGAGAGAAAGAAGCACAAGGCAGACTCTCAACAATCAGCGGCAGCTTGGCTTTCGAACGCCACATCTGTAGAACACTTGTCCTGTGAGAGTGCGGTTTGGAGTTTACGGTTTAGGGTTTAGGGAGAGTGCCTGTCACTACAGCAAGAGCCTTTCAAAGCTCCAAGCCCCATTACATGATTCGAACTCTCCCTGCCGAAGGCTGAAAGTTTCAACCAACCAGCATCTTAAAACCCTAGCCCCCTAAGTCAACCTTGTTAAACACTGACCCCTGAACCCTAAACCATTGTTGAAACGCAAGCAACCAAGCAAAAATAGACGTCTAGTACCAGTGCCATCACCACCACACACTGTACCCTAAAACCGTAAAACTCAAACCCTGAACCCCCAAACTCTAAACCCTAAACCCCCAAACCCCAAACCCCAAAGCCCTACCCTAAGCACTTTTGCAAATTCTCCCAAGCAGCGGCCTCCCCCGTTTCCACCACACCCGAGCCGATCGACTTAAACATGTCTTCGATCCTGGAGCAGTTCCCAGGTTTGGTGTTTTAGGGCGTTTTCGGGGTGTACTTGGAGGATCTTAAGACTTAGTAAGTAGGGTTATAAGTACCTTAATTGGGTTATAAGTAATTATAGGTATAGTTACCTTAATTTATAATCTCAGTTACAACGTCCCATGATCCTTTAAGTAGGGTTCCAAGGTTAAGAATCAGTTACAACGTCCCATGATCCTTTAAGTAGGGTTCCAAGGTTAAGGGTGCAGGTTTCCAGGGTTTCAGTGTTTAGGGTTTAGGGCTTGATGCCGTGGTTTAGGGTTTAGGTAGGGGCCTAGGGTTTAGGGTTGAGATCCAGGGAGGTATTTTGGCTTGGGCTACGGGTCTTGGGGATGGCGTTCGAGGGTTTAGGGTCCGAGGTTGAGGGTTTAGAGTCGCAGGGATTCCATTCGAGGGTGCGGTCTCGGGGTCGGATCGAGGCTAAGGCTAAGGGCCCGGTCGAGCCTCAAGAGCTCGAAGACTTAGGTTGCTTGTTCGCCGAGACGTAAAGGTCCCTTTTGGGGTTTAGGGTTTAAGGCAGTTTAGGGTTTAGGGCAGTTTAGGGTTTAGGGCAGTTGAGGGTTTAGGGTTTAGGGCAGTTTAGGGTTTAGGGTTTAGGGCAGTTAGGGTTTAGGGTTTAGGGCAGTTTAGGGTTTAGGGTTTAGGGCAGTTTAGGGTTTAGGGTTTAGGGCATTTTAGGGTTTAGGGCTTAGGGCAGTTTAGGGTTTAGGGTTTAGGGCAGTTTAGGGTTTAGGGCTTAGGGCAGTTTAGGGTTTAGGGTTTAGGGCAGTTTAGGGTTCAGGGTTCATTGTTCGCCGAGACAGGGCGAAGTTTGTGCCTGGCAGCCTTACACGTAACTGTAGCTCCCAGCTGTAAATGAGCTCTCACCCCTAACGCCTCAATCTCAATACAAAGGATCTACTTAAAGGATCGTGGGACTTAGTAACTGAATTTATAAGTAAAGTAACTATGCTTATAATTACCTATAACCCCAATTAACGTACTTATAACCCTACTTACTAAGCCCCAAGATCCTCCAAGTATGCTTTCCGATCTATACGATAGCTCTGAGGATCAGACATGACTGCCGGAGCCAAACTCGCTACCGCAGCGTGGGGCTGGGGTTAGTTACCAAAACATCACCAACACTGAGCACAACTTTGAGAAGTAATGTGGGGGCCTTAATAATTAGAAAAGGGTTCATGATACTATCGCTTATAATTAGGACCCCCCAGAATAATATAGGTAATTATCAAGGCCCCTATCTTAAGTGCTTGCGCCAAAACCCACAATATCCTCTGCCAGATGCCGATTGTCGCGAAATCATCCACCCACATCCTTGAACCGGGAGCCTGAACCCCCCCCCCCCCCCCCCCAAATGCCGGCGTGGAACGACTAGATCGTAATGTCCCTAGCTGTGGCACCGATGCGCAAGCTCGACCCTCTTAAACACTTCCGGCCAGCCCCCTTCAACAAAAAACATGGCCTGAAAGTGCGTATGCGAGCCAAGTCCCTTAAACCCCAAATCCTAAAGGGCCTGGGGTTTAGGGCCTTATAATAAGGCCCTAAACCCCTAAACCCTAGGGTTTAGGATTTGGGGCTTAAGGGACCTGGCTCGCATAAATTATAGTTCAAGCAGCTTGACGCTCTTCGTCGAGCGCGACTTTTCCGGACCCACAGTCACCTAAGTCAAACAGGCTGTGTCTTGGGTAGCCTTCGCCTTCACCCATCCACATTCTAAATAAGTATGAGTATAAGTCTCACCGGCACCACGACCACCAGTAACCACATCATACATGAATCGCATTCTAGAAATGCTCAGAGTCATGGCAGCTATGACCAGTGCCATCACAACAACACCAACCGCCACCGCCACCACCGCCACCACCACCACCACCATCACCACCACCACCACCACCATCACCACAACAACCTTCACCAGGAAATCAACCCACATTAGCGATAGTTTGCCGCATGCTGGCTGGCATCATTATTCGCCTGCTGGTCTCAGCATCACCTCATCCGATGTTGCTGTGACTGGTCCATGAAGACAAGACGATAGCAAAAACGGAACTCCGAGTCTGGCATTCTCGGTGATATCTACCGGAGGCGCGAACAGAAGAAGCCATAGCCGCATGACGACAAAGCGTGAGGAGAGTATGAGCAGGAGGAGCCGGAAAGACAACCGGATGTAACGGCTAGGTCGTCGCGGGTGGAGGTGGTACTGTTGATGATCAAACAAATTGCATTACCTGAAGGACCCTAAACTATGGGAATTATGGTATATTCCTTACTGTGGGTATCTGTGGGTGGTAAGGCAGGATTTCCATCATCAACCGTACTGTTTGTTCTTGACAGGGGCGGCTCGGATTTTTAGTTGTTGCGTGTGTGTATACATATATATATATATATATGTGTGTGTGTGTGTGTGCGTCGGTGTGCTGGAGGAGTGGTGTACTTGCTGCTCACTGTTACATCACTACTGAGTACTCGCGGGTGGAAAACAGGCAGAGACTACATCCCTCATTTTGAAGCACATACAACAAAGCGCGGTGCCGCCTTCTTTTCGGTGCCAAAAAAGGGACTCTAACTTGCTAAACCCTCAAGCCTAGCCCCGATCCCCGGATCAACTGAAAACCCTAAACCCTACTTGGAGGATCATGGAACTTTCTAACTGAGGCTATAAACAAGGTAACTATACTTATAACCCCAATTAGGGTACCTATAACCTGCTTACCAAGTCCCAAGATCCACCAAGTAAACCCGATCAACTGAGTGGCCGGAAGTTCCTCTTTCTTGACACACGACTTCGTCCTTTCGTCGAAACCTCGGACGGTCTCTCGGCTTCGAGGGATACAGCGCCTTAGGGGTAATGCAGGGGCCTTAATAATTAGAATAGGGTTTTGGGCTCCTGCATAGTATATTTATAATAAGGAAAACCCTAGAGAATAATAACGGTAATTATTTAAGCTTTTGTATGATAAGGTTCAGGTTCAGGGTTGAGGGTTTAGCCGTTTAGTGGTTTAGGGTTTAGGGCGTCAGGGCTTCAGGGTTTGAGCGGCTTGTTAGAGCCGAAGTGCCTGCTGCTAAGGACCATTATGCCTTAATTGCAGGGTACTTGAGGGTGCTGGACACGGCCCTAAACTTAAACCCTAAACCCTAAAGGAGCCCTAAACCTAAACCACAAAGGAACCCTAAACCTTAAACCCTAAAGGAATCCTAAACCCTAAAGGAACCCTAAACCCTAAACCATAAAGGACCCTAAACCTTAAACCTTAAAGGAACTCTAAACCCTAAACCATAAAGGAACGCTAAACCCAAAACCTTAAAGGAACCCTAAACCCTAAAGGAACCCTAAACCCTAAACCCTACAGCAACCCTAAACCCTAAACCCTAAAAGAACCCTAAACCCTAAAGGAACCCTAAACCCTAAACCCTAAAAGAACCCTAAACCCTAAACCCTAAAGGAACCCTAAACCCTAAAGGAACCCTAAACCCTAAACCCTAAAAGAACCC